GTGATATCAAATATCTAAAGAGGATTGCATAATAATAAGGAGGTTAGAGAAGAAAAGGTGGATGAAAGTAACTTATGGATCAGAAATATGGAAGATAACTGTCTACTTAACAGATATGAAGGGGAAATAGAAACCGTGATGGTCATAATAATCATGGGAAATTGTAAGCGGATAATAATAACTGATTATGAATTAACAGAATACATCAATCGGTTCATGATTTCAATCAAAAGCTTACCAATCTCCACAACCCCACACTGATAATTACCATATGCTTACTAGTGACTAGCTTCGTGAGAAAATTCTCGGAGTTCTAGTGAGAAGTCGTGACCAGTGGAGCTAATGCATGTCGAGTAGAGATAGGTATCTACCTCAGTACAGTGGAAGATGGTCGCACAATTTCGTAGATTGGTTAAGGTTAGACACTACCACTATTTGATACCGGCTGGTACAGTAGGTTAAGCGTTAGCGCGCGAGACTGAAGGCGCTGCTGAGGAGTCCCTCAATGGGACGAAACGGCCGTTCAGTGCTCCCAGGTTTTCAATGGCTGTCTAACATCAATCGGTTCATGATTTCGATCGAAAGAATACATAATAATAATAACAGATGTAAAACAAGATCAAAGTACATTGAAGAAGAGAATTGAGGCCAAGGAAAGATAAGCGATTGGACGCATTATTTTTTGTACACAGAGTCCGGGCTTGAATTAATGGATCGTCCGAAAGATAATTCTCCTCACTGAATTCTCTTTATTTTTATTCAATGACACAGCAAACTACTTTAATTATACATCTTGTAATTTTGACTTATCTATTATATAGATGCTGGGTTTGAATCTTGCAAGGTTGGATTGTGGATGAGCATTGCTGAAAAGTCCTACAATTGGACGAAACGGCCATCCATTGCTTCCAGGTTTAGCTCCAATTGACTCATGATCTCAACTATTGAAAATACATGTATATATCTTTTATTATCTAAGTGTGTATAGAACTAACATAGATTACTATATTCATCTCATATTTATTCGTTGATTCATTTCATATTACGTCTAAAAGTTGGACTGCTCACCTTATCATCATATTCTTTTTTCGTTTTTCTATTCGTCAAAGTCACAAATTATGTCACATTTCTGTGTATTTTAGTAAAGAATCTTCTATCTGTCTACTTATCCATTTGTGTAACTTTACATGTAGGACTATTGTGCTTTGTTCAACATTAGTAGTTCATGTTTTACTGTTTATGTAAAATGATGAAGTGATGTATTATTATTATGAATGTTATTATTACCTGTTAAGAAGATGAGTAATTTTGTTTAAAATAATTATCATTATGAAAGGCACGTATTTAATTTTAATGGTTGAATTCATGAGTCGATTTAAGCTAGACCTACATAGAAAACCTGAAATCACTAGAAGTTCGTTTCTTGTTACTCGAAATGCTCTCACGTAGCCACGCGCATACAACCACTACCAGGGATGGACTGTTCATTGACTGCTCGTGAAGGAGGTGTTCTCTACGAAATCGAGAGGATGAAAAGCGAGTATCCGTCAGTTGGTGTTGGATATGGAGGATCCAACTTAGGGAGTTGGAAACCCTGATTCCAAATCAGTGGTGCACATGGATTCCACGATCCTGATAAAATAAATGGCGTATGAACCTACTGTTGATCATCAGCTACCATGGGACTGCATATCCTGACGTTGCTCCACTGCCCTGTGGATCAGACGTTTAGGTCAAGAGCTCGTGGAGTGGCCCCCTAAGAAAACTACCTGCTACGGTCTGAGTACCTGGGCAGTATCAAAGCCAACAAACAAATCGAATGATTTATGTCGTGCATATCTATTTCACGCCTCCTTGTACCAATGTTTGTGTGTTTAAATGAACAAACAAGACACCTATTTAAGAAATAACTAACCATGTATTCCATGTGTGGTTTCTGTATATTCAAAATGTGCAATTGGTGCATAGGTAGTAATACATACATCTGAGCATATGTTGTTAGTAATTACGTTAGTTAGTTGAATACATTTCATCATTTAAGCTTGCTTTTCACTTAAGGGTATTAAGTTACAATACCTAGAAGTATGACTTAGGCAGTTATGATCGATCATCGTTTGTTAGTAATCCTCCTAGATCTAGACAATACTTCGATGGACACAATTCTAATGCATGCTGGTGAATAATTGTACTAAATGTCAAATGATTCAGTAAGAAAACTGAAACAAAGATTTAAGCTTTTGAATATGTCACAACCTTTTTTTGTGTGTTTATTTCATTAATTTCGTGTCGGGTGGAGATAGTTACCCACGTCAAATAGTGAATGAATGGGTTGAGCAAGATTATGGATCGATTGAAGTTGGACATTAACACCGTTACTTATTGGCCTAGTGATCTAGGGGTTTCGAATTGTATTTCTGATGCCTAATCTTTCATATAACCTCTGATATTGTTAATATTTCTACTTTTCTGAAATTGTACCTGATAATTTGATCTACCTAAGTTAACAGGGTATTGAAACTTGGACACATGGACATATGTACGGGTTCTACGTTGTGACTGACGTCTATTATTCATACGTTAGTCATATATATTGACGAGGGAAATTTTTATGATGTTTCTATACCTTATTAACTTTTACAAATGGAATACATTTAAGTCTACTTATATTTACCATACTAAATGTTTAAATCAAAACACATTTAATATCCATCGAAAGACAGTTTACAAGTAGAAATAATCATATGCTCACTAGTGACTAGCTTCTAAATAGATTTCTTGGAGTTATAATGAGACACCGTAATCAATGGAGTTCAATTCATGTCGTATGGAGATAGTTATTCACCTCATATAATAAATGAATGAGTTGAGTAAGGTCATGGATCAATTCTATTTGAACATGAACACCATTGTTTATTGGTTCATTGATCTAAAAAAAAAACTAAGTATTCTCTCACGAGATTGAAACTCTTAAATTCAACTCTCACATATATGTCCATGAACATACTCTGTTCAGGAGTTTTATAGTAAAACGAAAACAATCATCTAATGATTGTAAGTTCTCATTAATTCAATTGTTTAAATTACTACATAGAATATCATTTATCTATAATGAGAATTGTTTCAATGTGTATACTATACCACTCTTTAATTCATTTGTAACTACTATTCATTAAATCTTATTTAGGTTAGAGAAATAAAAGATAATCCGTTAAATATCTTAATTCATATTATGAAATTTATTATTATCTTTTAAATATAGTCACTTGTTGACAATTTGAACTTACAGTTGTCATGCTTGATCATGATCACTAACTAGTAACTAATTCATTATTTTGTTATTCTAAATGTATCATGCTAATATATCGTATTTATCAGATGTATTCCATCTTGTAATTACACAATCATTTGTACTTGTTTCTGTGTGTATGTACATATACATATATATATGTAATGGGGGGGGGGTACAAGTGTTAGTGTGTGCGTGTACATGTGAGTGAATGTATGTACGTGTGAACATTGATTACTAGGTTTCTACATGTTCCATACATATTGAGTTAAATTTGAATCAGTGATTGTTTTGTTTTTTCGGAAAAAAAAGATTTTTTTTCTTTGTTTATTGAATTCAGGTCAAGAAAAATGGTGTGTAACCTGATGAGTTGAAAATTTCACTAGTTTGGTTAGTGAAATTTATTGATTATGTTATAAGAATATAATGAAGATTTTCAACTTAAAGTAACTAACGTCTAATTGAATTTTATAATTGAATTCTCATGATGTGTAAAATGTTGTGGAGATGAATGAGTTTAGATGAGTATCATGAATAGATCAATATTAGATCATCATTGAAAACTTGGAAGGACTGGATGGACGTTTCGTTCTAGTATGGGACTCTTCAGCAGTGTGTATTTACGATCCCGAACATGGGAGTCAAACCTAGGACCTTCAGTCTCATGAGCAAATGCTTAACATTTAAACCACTAAGTCATCAACAAATGGTGTTAATGTCTAACTTCAATCAGTTCACGAAATTCCGAGACCATCTTCTATTGTCTTCCGTAAGTAACTGTCTCTACAACAGACACGGTTGAACTTCACTGGTCATAGATTCTCACTATAACTACATAGCTAAATCTTGTTCGAATCTCGCAAGGTGGAATCGTGCATACGCACTGTTGACGAGTCCTAGAATAGAACGAAATAACCATCCAGCTCTTCCAGGTTTTCCATGATAATCTAGCTTCAATTGACTGATGATCTCAACCATTAAATTGACTACAATACCGATAAAAACCCCTTTCTTGCACAAATGATATTTTCTATTTTATGTTCCAGTATAGTCTGTTTGTCTAGTGTATATAAATCTAGCATGTTGTAAAATACATGATTCATAACACTATAGCTGAGTTTGATGTTCAGAACTTAACAGGCAAGATTAGTTAACAAAAAGAATTGATAAAGACTTTAAACTCCTTCAATATATATTTTATACATCATTGATCCAATCAATAGATCATTATACTCTAATTGACAGTATCATTACATCAATATATTGATAGGGGCTCAAACCCCTTAAGTTATCACAATAATAATAATAATAATAATACATGAATTCATAATGAAAGTAAACTAAATACACATTTATATTCTTTATAAATAAGAGGAATACAATGATTACAATTATTTATTAAATAATGGTAAAGTTCAATTGTCTATTAAATTCACAATTGAATGAATTCATTGTTTTTCTCATTTATTTTTTCTCTTTTCTTTTCTTTTTTTTATTATTTAATTTTTTTTAATTTTTAATTTTTTTCAATTTTTTAATTTTTTTAATTTTTAATTTTTTTAATTTTTTAATTTTTTTAATTTTTTCAATTTTTTCAATTTTTCAATTTTTTTAATTTTTAATTTTTTTAATTTTTTTAATTTTTTAATTTTTAATTTTTTCAATTTTTTAATTTTTATTATTTTATTTTTTAAATTTTTTTTGGTTTTATTAAACCATCCAATTTGTTTCACTCATTATGTAATATCATATTACCATTTTTCATTTTACTTAAATGAATAATAATCGATCGTGTTTTTTCTTTTTTGGTTTTTTCTTTTTTTTTGTTTTTTTCTCTCGAAAATGTTTTTAGTATTTTTCTTATTCAATTTTTCTTTAATTTTTTAACTAAACGTTCTTTTTTCCAATATGCTTTTATATAAAAATTTAAAAATAATATAAAAAATAGAAAAGAATATAAACATACAATAATGGGGAATATTTTAGGAAAATTACAATGATGATTAAATGATATAAATTGTCCTTGATGTATAATAAACCATAAAAATTGTATTAATTGTATTAATGTCACATAATTTTTCCACCATAAATATTGATAATAACCAATTGCTGCTAAACCATAATAAGTATACATAATAATATGCACAAAACTATTGATTAATGGAAACATATATAATACACCACCTAAAAGAGAAATAAAGAAAAGAAAAGAAAAGAAAAAGAGAAAAGAAAAGAAAAAAAAGTGAAAAAACTTGATATATAGTTCGTCTTCATAATTGTCATTCGATAATGCTTCAGTGGTATATTTTAATCAGAAGGTGAATATGAAGTATATCGATTACATTTATTATTACATCACGACTTAGAGATAACCAAAATTATAGATACACGAAACAAGAATGAAAGGCTAATGCCGATGAGCAAATGAGTGAGTGAGTGAGTGACTGAGCGAGCGATCATGTGAGTTCGCAAGTCGAATGAGCGACTCAATGAATAAGATAAAAATGTAAATATATACATTTATACATAAGGAAATGAATGGATCATCGAATCAATTAAGTGACTAACAGTAAAGCTAACAGAATGAATATATGTATACGTAGTAAGCAATGCTCAAGCATACATATTTATATAAGCGCAGCAATAATAAAGGTACAATCGGTGAGACTATAATTTATGGACGATCTTTGAGTGACGCTGAAGTGACCTTGAGAGTGTCTACCTACTTACCAGGGCTAAATGAGGGTTATAAAGCAATTTAAAGAATAGGGATTATGATTTACAATTGATGGTTAGGATTGGCAATCAGATTTAGGGTTTTCATCACGAGCTAACATCAGCTATAATAACAAGACTTTATTTAGACAATTGGGTGAATGAATTTCGCGCCAAAAACTCTTGTTGTAAATCTGATTGGTTCGTCCTTAAATTATCGTCTCGCCGTACAGCAAGTTGTTATTGTATGGATGATTCTATCCGTTAAATATGTTAACAAAAAGACTGAACCGAATTAAGTGTGAACAAACCCAATTGGACGTGAGCTGGCTATATATATTTTTAATACCTTCCATACATCTTACCTCAATGTATCTTTATTTCATTGGATATAGATGTTCTTAACAATATCTCTAAGCTGTTATAATATGAATGTTGGATATTGATACTGATACTCAAGGTTACACAAGTGAGAAAATCTATAGCAGGAGGGAAGATTTTATTGCTCTAATAGTGTCACATTTCTAAGTAATATAAATCATTTCTTACTTAGTCATATGCACTGCTCATTTGGCTAATTTCTAATTATTTCAATGTATCATAAATAGTAAAGAATCGTTTAGTTCTAAGGTAACTTTGTCAACATTTAAATAATATAGTTATTATTTCTGTCTAATTCATCTAAACATACTTATAATAATCAGTCTCAGACTGCTAATAAAGTAGCATGTGTTTTAATTCATATTTTCGATTAAAATCTAATCACCGGGTAAGTTTCAGTGGTACTAATTAATAGAACTTAAAACTACATGTTTAAACTTAGTTTATTGACTGATTACTCCGATTTTAAGATATCTGAACTTCAGCCATTAAGTCGCAGGTTCGAACCCCGCTCAGCCTAGTTTAGTAAAAGCAATAAGGTAGTGTGACTAGATCACACAATGAACATGACTCAATATCAAGTAGACTAATCATTTACTGGTAAACGATTTAATAATGTTAACATTCGTAAGTAAACTGATCCATATGATTTATTTCTTATTTAAAGCTAACCAAGTCAACCGTAACTATTTCAGTGATTACAAGCAATAAAGATATGTGTACATATTCATAAGTGGAAATCAGTATTCCGATCAAATGGAATACAACCTCCATGTTTGTACATTTGCCACCAATACAATTTTCAAATATTTCTTGTTTACATACTTACTTTTTAATAAACTAATCTATTTCATTAAAACCACAAACTGACACTAGTTAGACGACCATTGAAGAGCAAGAAGCACTGGACAGTTGTTGCGTCTTTTATGATAAGAAAAAGAAATGATCCTAACAGTTTGAAACGTCTTGCTAAGCATCATGCAAAGATATTCTTATTGATGGAGTTTTGTTCTCTAAGCTGGATGGTTTAATCGTGGAGCTTTCATCGTTCTACTGAACGACATCATCAGCATCAACACCACCATCTCAAAGATATTTTTTTACCGTTAACTTGATCCTATAAAAGATAAATGTAATTGGATTTTTTGAATCTCGAGATAACTAAACCCTTATAGTAGTTTTCTTGTTTCGACGACTGACTTATCCTCATACTATACGTTAACCGTGAAGTTGTTTCAAGAATTTGTAATGTTTACATTCGTTTAATGTCCAAGCATCGAAAAAAGAAAACATTACTTTAGTGTAAAATTCATCTATAAGATGAACATCTCAGTTATCTAATTTCCAAAGTTTACATACGTCCGGGACCATATAATCCATTAGTATTAGGAATAAAGATGCTAGTCACATCTGATCCTATTTATTTACTAATGATTTTAACAGATTTCATTATCGGTCAATTTATTCCGAATTGATAAAATTATCTTTGCAGGTCATGGGTTCGAATCTCACAGGGTGCGGGATCGTGGATGTGCACTGCTGAGGAGTCTCATACTATGACGAAAACGGCTATCCAGTACTTTCAGGTTTCGATAATGATTTAATAGTAATCGATTCATGATCTCAATCATAAATAGTTCTAGTTGGATGATTTATTAGTCAGTAACAAAATCTTCTTTCTTGTGACATTTCAAAAGTAATAATTCAACATCCCAGTTGTCTTATAATTTTATTATTTATTTATTTATTTGTTTAAACACATAAACATTGGTACAAGGAGGCACCAAGTAGATATGCGCCTCATAAATCATTCGATTTGTATGGGGGCTGTGATACTGTCCGGGTGCCCAAACCGAAGCAGGTGGTTTTCTTTGGGAGCCACACCCCGAGCCTTTGACCTAAAGGTCTAACCCACAAGGCAGTGGAGCATCGTGAGGAGATGCATTCCCATGATAGCCGGTGACCAACAATTCGTTCATACGCCATTTGTTCCCGCAGGATACTGAGGCCCATGTGCACCATTGATTTGGAATCCGCTTTTCATCCTCTCAATTTCGTAAACAACACCCGTGGTAAGAGAAGGCAGTGAGTAGGACTTCCCTAGCAGAGGCTGTACACGCGTGGTCATGTGAGAGCATTTCGACAGGGCATTTGGGGGCAGTTGTCTTATAAAACTTCTTTTCAATCTATCTATACATATAGAACAGTTATCAGCATATGTTAAAGGAAAACAAAAAGAAACAATAATCTATTTAACAATCCGTATAGATCAATACACTAGAACTTACCAGGTGCATATTTTAAACCCCACCATACTGATGGTGGCATGGATGCATGATGAAATACATGTAAAAATGTCACTTGATCCACTTTACCACGATATAAAAAAAACACTGTATCTAACATTTCAATAAATTTTGAAATAAAGTATAAATAACCATAATACACTAAATCATCTGTACGTTTATCATTCGGATCGGGTAATTCAATACAACCTAAACCATAATTCAATTGACGTATGACAATTAAACTAGATATTGATAAATATATAAAAAATATAACCATAGTAAAATTATATAATGCCATATAATATTGAATCCATTGTATTCTATTTATTCTTTTCATACTATTTTCATTTGTATTTGATTCTTTCTTTTGTATTAATTTTATACGCCATATATATACAATGATACAATAAATGAATGAAATCAATGCAGTTGGTGTCCATGTTGACATGAATGGATAATTTGATAATCTTGGATCAGGTTTCGATGGTAACAATTGGTTAATAAGCCAATCACTCCGATTTTCATACATAATAATACTACTAATAATAAAATATCAGTAATTTCAATGAAATTTATTAACAGGAATGAATCAATTTTATAATAGAATAATCAAGTTTTTAATGATAGATCATTATTTATTTATGTTCTCTTTAATTATTCTCATCGTCTTTATTGATTTTGTTATTAGTCTCTTGATCAATTGTATGGAAACAAACTTGATGAATCAATAAATAGGCAAAATGGTTACTGTAAGAAAGACAAAAAAAAAATAAACGAATAACCGATTTATTTATTCTACTTAATTATGATTGGTTCATTGATTATGATTTTCTTAAATTCTATTAACCAATCAGATTTCTTTTTGCTTCTTTTGCTTAGTTCAATGTAGATAGGTTAGTTGAATGATGATAAGGTTATAGAATAGACAAATGAGTTGAGATAGAAATGTTTAATGTCTGTCTCAAACTCTCTCCCCCCCCAAAAAAAACAGGTTGAATTCAATGCCAAAAATTGGAAGGTTGTGTTTAAGAAGTGGAATTATTCTTATTATTGAATTTAATAAGTAAAACTAGTTACCTGCTATTAAATTATGTTAATGTTGTCCCTGGCAACTCTAACTCATTTGAATAATATTTAATATGAACAATGTATCATAGAGTTATATGTGTTATGTTCGGTCGTTGTAATTATTGTGCCGGAAAAAGCACTGAATCACTTATACTCTGAACTCACCTAGCTGAAGGCGTTCGGTCATGCATCCGCACCAGATCACGAGTGGAAACGCCGTGCTCAACAACCCCTGCAATCGCTAGCCAGATTACATCAGACGATCCTCGATATATTGACAGCCTATGAAATATAGCTTTGAACCTTCTCGCTTCTGTCTTTCGATTTCGCTTGGTAGGTACGATTCATATTAGGTGTTACTAGTTAAAGCGTTGTCAAACTCCGAGTACCTGTGGCATCTTCACTGTAATGATAATACCTTGTGGCGAATCATTAAAAAGAGGCCTCAATGATTAACTGGGTCTCTTAAGTAGTGAGGAAGATTACTGACAATCAACATTTTAGTTATAAACTACTGTTTTCGTTTTTTAAAGTTAGAAGAAACGAAGCTGGAATTAAATTTCTGAATAACCAAAAATGCTAACCTACTGCTGGTTAAGCACAGTTTTCAACAAACAAACGATTCATTTCTTCTGTTAGGCAAAGTTTGAAGCAGTTGTCCAGACAACAAATCACTTGAGTAACCCTTTTTTAGTTCTGCTGAGGTGCGGTGTGGTGGACCAGACGATATATAAATGCAAAAGTATCAACAAAGTTAATAAAGATCAATAGGAATGTTAATATATATATAAGTTAATTAATACAAATACAATAGAAAGTTGGGACTTACGTTCACCAAATTGATGCGTAATCGGCTTTGGTCTGGTACTAAGGAACCACAATTATAAATGCTTGGTAATTCCAATCTAGTTGACGAACTCTTCAGTGATATAATCCAACGTAGGATGTGATATATTCCAATTACAGTTTGTAAATGTAGATAGTATTTGATTTAGATTTCAGTTAACTCAATCACGAAACGAAGATAGAACGAGGAATGTGTGAGTAGTAGTGTATTTGTTAGCCAACAAGAGTATGTCACGCTATGTCAGTATCACAACGGAAAGAGTGTTCAAGGTCATTTACTAAAACATCAGGTACAATCATTTAATGTTAAATATACATACAGTGGAAGGTTGACAAAATAAATACAAATAACATTGAAAACTATTTACACACTAAACTTGCCAGGCCTATCTCCACATAGCTCCCCCTAGAGTGTCCGGAGGTATACTGGTTATAATAACAAAAAAATTGTAAGAATATGATATATACATGTATACAAAAATAATATTTACAGTTATAGCTAACAAAAATGTGGAGATGAGTATGACCTATAGCAGAGATGTAGCATAGCATAATAAACACACACATAAAAAAAATGAAGACACTGTCATTTAATGTCTTGGTTGGCTAACAATGATGATAATAATAATGTGCAAAACTGCTAATAACCCAAAAAGAAATTGAACTGTTTATTTTTGTGTACAATAAATGAGTAATTAAATAGGGTTTACTCGTTTATTATAGTAACAAAAATTTTTTAAAATAAAAAATAAATGTGACAAAAAACGAATAATTGAGGAAAAATGTGATTATGTACACTGTGAAAAGAAAAACATTTTTGGGTGAAATTAGTAGTGTGGGACATGAGTAGATGTTTGCTTTGATTGTTTGTTTTTTTGTCTTTTTTTAACCGACGAGATGGACATAACGCTTGGGTTTTGTTATAAGTCTCCCAGAACATGTTAAACAAGAGGGTGTAGTGCTAAGTTTTTCATCCTCCTCTTGTTTCGTGGTAATTGTTGGGAGTGATTGTTTGTTTGCAGTATTGTCTTCTTTGTCTTGAGGGATTTCGTAGAAAGCTGGTTTTATTCTGTCTATGGAAATTGTCTCCTTGTTCCCATTTTTGTTGATAGCGAAGTATTTGCTTGTTCGTTTGATTACTTGGTATGGGTCCTTCGTACGGTTGCTTCAATGGTTTTTTAACTGCATCAACACGGACGAAAACAAACTTACATGTTTCTAGGTTTTTGTCAAGTTGCACTCGGTTGTTGTGTTCCCGAGGCGGTGTGGCTTTGATTCTATCCATAGTTTGTAGTAATTAGCTGGCGAAACAGCTTGAGTCTGTTGCTGTTGCTGGATTTGAGTCTACGAGTTGTCCTGATAATGTGAGAGTTGTGCCATAGACTAACTCAGCAGCTGTACACCCTATGTCTTCTTTGATGGTTGAACGGATACCTAGGAGTACAAGAGGTAGTGCATCACTCCATTTTGATGTGTCGTCTTGTGTCATCAGCGAGCTTTTCAGTTGGCGGTGAAATCTTTCGACCAAGCCATTAGCTGCTGGGTGGTAAGCTGTGGTTTTAATGTGGTTGACCCCTGGAAGTTTAGTGAACTGCTGAAAAAGGACAGATTGAAATTGGGGACCGCGATCTGTTGTGATTATTGATGGTACTCCATAGTTAGATATCCAGCGGTCGAGGAAGACTGAAGCGACTGTTTCTGCCGAAGTGTCTTTTATGGGGCAGGCCATGGCCCATCTAGTAAACCTGTCTACTGCAGTAAGGATGTGCGTGAAAGATTTTGATGGTGGCAGAGGCCCCACTAAGTCTAAATGCACATGCTGAAAGCGTTTGTCAGGGATAGGGGACTTCCCAATTGGACTGGAGGTGTGTTTCTGCGTCTTACTGCGTTGGCACTGGAGTCAGCTAAGTGTCCAACGTTTAACATCTGAGTTGATTTTCGGCCACACAAAACGATCGGTAATGAGCTTTGTTGTTGCTCTGATGCCTGGATATGAAAGACCGTGCAAGTGCTGAAATATTTTTCGTCGGCAGGCGTGTGGGACAAACGGACGATTGTTGCCTGTTGAGGTGTCGCACATGATGAATGCATCTGAAAGAGGAATTGGTACAGGTTTGAGATTTAAGCTAGACTTTTCTTTGCAGACTTTCGATTCTGCATCGTCTACTTGTAATTTAGCCAAGGTTTCAAGGCTGATGTCATTATTGAGTACTATCGTATTGATATCCCTCCTAGATAGTGCGTCTGCGACAATGTTTGTGTGACCTTTGATAAACCTGATGTCTGTAGTAAATTGGGAGATATAATCAAGTTGTCTTGCTTCTCGTTGGGAGCGTTTGTCATACGATGTGCTAAAAGAATGGCAAAGGGGTTTATGATCTCTCATAATGATGAAATCACGACCCTGCAGCCAGAAGTTGAAATGTTTTACGGCTAAGTACATAGCCAGGAGTTCGCGTACAAAAGTACTATAACGTTCATGTGCCGGCGATAATCTTTTGGAGAAAAAGGCAATGGGGGTAATCGTGTTGTTTACCCGCTGTTGAAATACTGCCCTAACGGCTTTTTGTGAAGCATCTGTGCACAGGATCAACAGGGTTGTGGGGTCAGTATTTAGATGTTGGAGCATGGTAGCATTGGCAATCATGGATTTAACTTTTTCAAATGCTACTTTGGCATCAGAAGGTAACCTGAATATTTGGTTCTTTTCTTTCTTGGTACCTGACTTATCGTTTTTCAGTAAATCTGTCAACGGCTGTAGTACAACGGTGCAACTCGGTATAAATCGTCGATAGAAATTGCATGTTCCAAGAAAACAATGTAATGATTTTACTGAGGTTGGTCTCGGGTAGCTGGTGATGGCTTTGACTTTTTCTTCAAGCGGTTTAGTTCCTTGTGAATCAATGTGGTGTCCCAGGAATTCCAAGGCTGGGACGGCGAATATACATTTAGAAGGATTGATAACAACGACATGTTTCTTAAAACATTCAAAGAGGATGTGAACATACTGGACGTGCTCTTCTATTGATGAGATTGCGATCAAAACGTCGTCCATGTAGGCGAATACAAAATCTAAGCCTCTTGTAACATCATCCATGAATCGTTGGAATGTCTGGGCGGCATTTTTCAATCCGAATGGCATTCTTAGAAACGCAAACAGACCAAAAGGTGTGACGATGGCTGTTTTCTCGATGTCTTCTGGTAAAATCGGAAATCGGTGGTATGCGCGCACAAGGTCAAGTTTCGAGAAAATGCATTTACCGTGTAAGTTAAACGAGAAGTCATGTATATGTGGGATAGGGTACCTATCAGGGATTGTTTGATTATTCAGACGGCGATAGTCGCCACACGGACGCCAATCTTGGTCTTTCTTTGGTACCATGTGTACCAAGTTGCATCATGTGTTCAAATTCTCTCTTAGCTGTCTGCAACTTTGTTGGTGGTAGTCTCCTCACTCTGGCGCGAATTGGTGGTCCGGTGGTAGTGATGTGGTGCTGCACATGGTGTGGATCGCATTCTTCCCTGATGTGAAAGAGGCGGCTAACATGTTGGCCAGTAACAACTGCCGCCATTACTGTCTGGCCGCTTCGTTTCCCTGATGGTTTGGGTAGTTTGTCTTAAAGCTGCATGATTTAGTGCAACGACGTGCTTTCTCACCATAATTCGAATGATATCAACAAATTCCGGCTGTCCGTTTGGGACATGGATTGCTTTGTGTTTGATTATTGGGACGTTGCGTTATATCTCATTTGAGGAGGTTAGTGCAATATCTAACTTCAAAAATGATGTGGATAAAAGTTAGAAACGATGTGTGTGGGTCACAAAATATTGGT